GTTGTCGGCCTCTCGATTTCCGGAGGAGAGAAAGAGAGGGGAGGGACAGCCCCCCCACCACCACCACCACCCCGACCCTCTTTCTCTTCCTCGCCAACCTAAATGTGCCACACGGCGATGGGAGGGCTTGGCCGTGGTCGTGAGAACTTGGCGAAAGAAGAAGAGTTAGGGGCATAACTAGGGGGAGGGGTGGCGGCGGCAGCGGGATGACGGATGCTAAATGCACCTTAATTGCCCGACGAGTGCTTGTTCTCTCTGCAGGGGGCGCGGCCGGGCTGAGAGCAGCCCCCCGTAAAGGCGCAGCGAGAATTATTACCCATCGATTGTTTATCTTCATTAGAAACATTTATTCAGCTAATCAGGTGCTGCTGCTGCTGCTGCTGTGCTGCGCAGGTCGGGGAGCTATGGCCGCGTCGGCAGCAGGGTGCGCGGGTGGTGGTGGTGGTGATGGTGGCGGGGTCAAAGGGAGCATTGGAGCGAGGCGGAGCAACGGCTCACGAGCAGCCGGGATCACAACACAAACTCTTGTGATTTACAGACCCCACCCACCCAGGCGCCCGCTCCCGACAAAGACTGCGCTGCAACGCAGGAGCAAGCAGTCCGGCACAAATAAAACAGGTTATGGAGGAGGCAGCAGCAGCAGCAGCGCCGCACGACTTTACTTGTTCTGTTCCACGAGCCTGATCCCGCTGTAGTAGTAGCGCTCATCCGCCAGTGAGCGAGGGGCCCGGAGGGGCCTCTGAGGAGTCAGCCGGGGGCGGCGGTGGTGCACGAGCGTGGCGTCTAGGGGCTACACCACCGGCCCGGGTGGGTCGGGCTCATCGCTGAACTCTGCGCGGAGCAGAGGGGCTAGTGGCCAGCAGCAGCGGCAGCAGCAGCTGGGGCGGCTCTAGGGAACCAGGAGGGCGGGCTAATCCCAGCAGCCCAGCCCAGGGGCCATCTTCTTATCCCCCCCGTCCGCTCTCACACATGGGACTCTCGGCGCGCACGTTAGGGATAAAGTATGGAATCCAATTGGCGGCCCCCACCGCACCGCACCGCACCGCACCGCACCGCACGGGGCCTGGGGACGGACCAGCAGGCGGCCGCACACCTCGCCGATAGCGGCCGCTCGAGCTGCTTCTCCACGACGCGCTTCACCGCGCGCCATTCAAAACTCGCGGATTTCGCGCCCTTAGCGAGCGGGAGCCCACCTGTCACGGCGAGGATTATTCCCGCTCAACGCCCCCCCCCCTCTCCCCCAACCGTTCAGGCCCAGGCCCCCGCCTTTCTCTTCATTTCGGGGGATGGCAGCAATAATTGATTTCCAGTCTCTCCGGCTTGACGGCGACGGCCCAAGCGGCAGAGCCGGGGGATTCTGCTGTCCAAGCTGCTGCCGCCGCGCCCCGCACAGCCCCGCCGCTTTTCTCCCTCCCTCCTCCCCTCTTTCTCTCTCTCTCTCTCTTTCTCTCCAAGCGTCGCCGCGACTTCGGGCCGCGCGCGCGCAGCGAGCAGCTGTGCCAAGGAGCCGAGTTCGGCCAATACGTCTTGCACAGGCCACGGCGCCGCGCCCCCTTGCCGAGCTCCCGCGCGCCGCACCGCGGCAGTTGGCAGAGAATGTTTGGCTTAACAGCCCTAGTCCAGGCCTGGCCAACTTTTTATAACCCGGTTTTTAAAGGGAGAGAGGGAGAGACAGACAGACTCGAGAGGGTCTTTTTTTCCCTCTTTCTTTCTCCGCCGTACAACGACGCCGACGCCAGAGGCCGCCGCTGGCTGCTCCCTTTCAAGCCCGCGTGTGACCAACTCCGTGGCGTGGCGTGGCGTGGCGTGCCTGGCGTGGCTCGGCGGGGTGGAAGGCGAGGGTGCAGCCGTGTGTGTAGAGTCCTGGCGCTGCAACCCCCCTCCCTCCCCTCCGCCACCCTGGCGGAACACAGAGAAACACACCCGGCCCCTCTCCCCCTCCTCACCGATTGAAACTGTCCGTCTGCCCGTCTCACTCTCTGACATCTCCTCTCTCTTTTCCGAACGTTCTCTCCACCTCACCTTACGGTACGGTGCTCCACGTGCTGGTGTGCCCGTGCGTCAATGTCTACCTTCTTCGCCCCCCCCCCCACCTCTCTCCCTCTCCCTCTCTCCCTCTCTCTCGCTCTCGACGTCACCAATTCAAACTCGCTACCCCTATACTGCATCCGCAAGGCAGATGCCATCGTCAGCTCGCGCTCAGTATTTCTAGGATAGGTTCATTTCGCTGTGACGTTCCTTAAAGATGGATTCAGAGTTCACAAGATGCGAGCGTGATTTTCACGCCGCTAGCGTGAAAAGAGTTGTTTTGGTTAGCAGTTAACTTTATGCGACAGCCAATAACAGGCCGCCGTGCGGCTATGCCATTATTTTCAGCTGAATCAGCTTTGGAGCTAGCGTGATTTTTCACGCTTCCGGCGTGA